TTCCCTCTGAGGGTGACGGAGCCCTGGCCCAGGCTGCCCAGGGAGGCTGTGGAGTCTCCTTCTCTGGAGATATTCCAGCCCCGCCTGGGCGCGGTGCTGTGCAGCCTGCTCTGGGTGACCCTGCTTGGGCAGGGGGTTGGACTGGGTGACCCACAGAAGTCCCTTCCGACCCTGAACATTCTGTGATTCTGTGAAACGTCAAAAGCACAAAGCGAGTCTCAAGCACTGGCTGTTCCCGCTTGTCCCACGGTCCTGGAAATCCCTCTGTGATCCCTGCCAGAGTCCTGGCCTCCGTGACATCCTGCAGCAGAGGACCGCACGGGCCGGGGGAGCGTTGGGCGCAGAGGATTTCCTTCCATTGCCAGGTTTGAAATGCGTTCGACGCTTTCATTTTCACTGCCTGCCCCCTCTGCCTGCAACAGGACGGATGGGGAATGGCCGGGGGGCAGCCCCCCATCTGCCCCACACCCCCTCAGCTCCAGGGATTTAATGAAAACGATTCCAAGTCGGGCAGAGAGGTTCCCAGTAGCAATAGCTGCAACAGCACAACCTCCGGCGTGGGTGGGTGCTGCTGGGTGCTACCCGGGCGTGCCGGGACCGGGACCCCCTGGGTCTGCAGAGCGTCTGCCCCGTGCCTGGGTGGGCAGCAGGGAAAAGCTGGGTGCTGGGAGAGCTGCTGGCATCGCGTCTGGCTGCAGGTGACCGTGCCCAGGGAACAAGCAGGTCCCTGTCCCACCATCCATGTGCCCATGGGTGGGGGGAGCAGTTCTCGTGGGCAGAGACGGCGGAGGATGAGTCCTTCTGCCTCCCCCGGGAGGGACTCTGTGCTGGGGAGAAGCGGGGTGGGGGAGGGACACGCAGCCCGTGGCTGCTCATGTCCAGCTGCCCCCCTCCTCCTCTTCCTCCTCCTCCGCGCTCTTCAGGTCCCTGTCCCACCATCCATGTGCCCATGGGTGGGGGGAGCAGTTCTCGTGGGCAGAGACGGCGGAGGATGAGTCCTTCTGCCTCCCCCGGGAGGGACTCTGTGCTGGGGAGAAGCGGGGTGGGGGAGGGACACGCAGCCCGTGGCTGCTCATGTCCAGCTGCCCCCCTCCTCCTCTTCCTCCTCCTCCGCGCTCTTTCTCAGCCCCATCTCCCATCGCCGCTGCCTTCTCCCCGGGCTCTCGCCTCTCCCGGCTCAGCCCGGGGACATCACGGGGG